CTGTCTCTTGTTGATTGTCATTATTAATTCAATGCCTGCCTTTGCCACATGGAAATTGAACAATGATAAGCTGAACCGCCACTGGGTCAAGGAAGAAATAAAGAAATAAAAGAGTTCCTAAAATTTAATGAAAATGACCGTACAATATACCCAAACTTATGGGACACAATGAAAGCAGTGCTCAGAGTAAAGTTCATAGCACTAAATGCCTATGTAAAGAAGCAGGGAAAACTGCACGCTAGTGAATTAACAGAACAACTGAAAGTTCTACAACAAAAAGCACACTCACCCAGGAGTAGTTGGCAAGATTAGTCAAATTAAGGACTGAAATCAATGAAATAGAAACAAAACAATACAAAGAATCAATAAGACAAAGAATTGGTTCTTTGATAAATTCAACAAAATAAGCAAACCTTTATCCAAACTAACCAAAAGACAGAGAGAGAATATCCAAATTAGCAAAATCAGAAATGAAAAGGGAGATATAACAACTTTAGACACTGAGGAAATCCAGATAATCATCAGGTCATACTTCAAGAACCTCTGCTCCACAAAACTGAAAAACTTTAAGGAGGTGAACAATTTTCTAGATAAGTACCACATATCAAAATTAAATCAAGAATAGATAAGTAGCTTAAATACACCTATAACCCCTAAGGAAATAGATACAGTTATCAGAAGGTTCCCAACCCAAAAGAGCCCAGGCCTAATTAGTTTCAATGCAGAATTCTAACAGATGTTCAAAGAAGAACTAATATGAATATTCCTCAAATTATTCTACACAACAGAAACAGAAGGAGCATTGCCAAACTCTTTTTATTAGGCTATAGTTACCCTGATAACCAAACCACACAGACACAAATAAGAATTACAGACCAATTTCCCTCATGAACATACATGCAAAAATAATAAAATACTGGCAAGCCAAATCCAAGAACACATCAGAAGAATCATTCACCATGACCAAATAGGATTCATCCCAGAAATGCAGGGATAGTTCACCAAATGAAAATCTGTCAATGCAATTCACCATATGAACAAACTGAAAGAAACACACACACACATGATCATCGCATTAGATACTGAAAAAGCCTCTGACAAAATTCAACACCCCTTCATGATAAAAACCTTGAAGAGAATAGGGATACAAGGAACATACCTAAACATAATAAAGGCAATATACAGTAACGCAACAACCAATATAAAATTAAGTGGAGAGAAATTCAAAGTAATCCCACTGAAATCAGGAATGAGACAAGGCTGCCCACTCTCTCCATATCTATTCAGTATACTACTCTGAGTTCTAACTAGAGCAATGAGACAACAAAAGAGGATCAAGGGGATACAAATTGGAAAAGAAATCAAACTCAGTATTTGCTGATGAGATGATAGTTTGCATAAGTGACCCGAAAAACTCTACCAGGGAACTCCTACAGCTGATAAACAACTTCAGTAATGTAGCAGGATATAAGATTAACTAAAAAATAAAATACAAAAAAATCAGTAGCTCTCCTATATACAGATGAGCTGAGACAGAAGTCAAAGAAACATCACCCTTTACAATAGCTACAAATAACATAAAATATCTTAGATTACCTGTGTGACAAGAACATTTAAGTCTTTAAAAATAAAAATTAAAGAAGATACCAGAAAATGGAAAGATCTCCTATGCTTTTGGATAGGTAGAATCAACATAGTAAAAATGGCAATCCTACTAAAAGTAATCTACAGATTCAGTGCAATCCCCATCAGAATCCCAGCACAATTCCTCACAGACCTTGAAAGGACAATACACAACTTCTTATGGAAAAAACAAAAAACCCAGGATAGCCAAAACAACCCTGTACAATAAAGATCATCTGGGGGCATCACCATCCCTGATTTCAAGCTCTATAATAGAGCTATAGTAATGAAAACATCTCTGTATTAGCATAAAAACAGAATGGTGGACCAATGGAATTGAATCAAAGACTCTGATATCAACCCACACACTTATGAACACCAATTTTTTTTTTTTTACAAAGAAGCTAAAAATGTAAAATGGCGTTGCTGTATTTCTTGTCCCTCCAGGTCCTGCCGCTCTCTATTCAGCCCCAAATAAAAACACGGATGCTATACTATAAACTGTTGAATGATGGCTCGGACTTCTTATTGGCTAGCTCTGTCTTAATTATTAACCCATTCTATAAATCTATGTATTTCCATTTGCTCTTGGCTTACCAGAGAATGTCTGGACCTGTTACTCCCTTGCCGACTACATCACATCTGTCTCTGGCAGGCTCTCCTGCCCACCTTTCCCAGAATTCTCCTCGTCTCCTAGTCCCGCCTATCTTCCTACTTCTATTGGCCAAACAGTGTTTAATTCATCAACCAATAAGAGAAACACATATACAGAAGGACAGCCCCCATCAAAATGGAAAAAAGGAAACATATTCAACAAATGGTGCCGGTATAACTGGCTGTTGACATGTAGAGCAATGCAAATAGATCCATGTGTATCTCCATACACAAAACTCAAGTCCAAATGGATCAAAGACCTCAATAAATCCACCCACGCTGAACCTCATAGAAGAAAAAGTGGGAAATACACTTCAACACATATGCACAGGAGACCACTTCCTAAATAGAACACCAGTAGCACAGACACCGAGAGCAACAATTTAAAAATGGGACCTCCTGAAACTGAAAACGTTCTGTAAAGCAAAGAACATAGTCAGCAAGGCCAAATGGGAAAAGATCTTCACCAACCCCACACCTGACAGAGGGCTGATCTCCAAATTATACAAAGAACTCAAGAAACTAGCTCAAACTACCAAACAATCCAATTAAAAATGGGGTGCACATCTAAACAGAATTCTCAACAGAACAACTTCAAATGGCAAAGACACTTGAGGAAATACTCAACATCCTTAGTCATCTGGGAAATAATCAAAACATTCTGAGATACCATATCAGAATGGCTAAGATCAAAAACACTGATAACAGTTTATACTGGAGAGGATGTGGAGAAAGGGGAACACTCCTCCACTGCTGATGGAAGTGCAAAGTTGTACAACTTCTGTGGAAATCAGTGTGGCAATCTCAGAAAATTTGGGATCAACCTACCTCCAGACCCTGCAGTACCAGTTTTGGGCATATACCCAAAGGAGGTACATTTATAGGACAAGGACATTTGCTCAACTATGTTCATAGCAACATTATTTGTAATAGCCAGAACTTGGAAACTATCTAAGTGCCCCTCAACCAAAGAATGGATAAAAAATTGTGGTACATTTACACAATGGAGTACTATTCAGCGGTAAGAAAAAAGGATATCCTAAAAGTTGGAGGCAAATGGACACTATTAGAAAAAACCATCCTGAGTGAGGTAACCCAAATCCATAAACACAAATATAGTATGTACTCACTCATAAGTGATACCAGACATAAAGCAAAAAATACCCAGCCTGTAATCCACTATAGTCCCCAGAGAAGCTAGAACCCTCTTCTAGTAACAGATGGAAGCAGATGCAGAAATTCACAACTAACCATTGGGCCAACCTCCTGGAATACAATCAAAGCAAGAGAGGAGTGATAATATAAACAAAGGAGTAAAGACCATGATGGGGAAACCCACAGAATCAGCTGACCCGAGCTAATGAGAGACTGATTCAGGTCTGACGATTGGGAAACCTGCATAAGACTGAACTAGACTCCCTTAATATAGGTGACAATGGTGTGGCTAGAACAATATATGAGGCCACTGGCAGTGGGTCCAATACCTAACAATAATATACAAACTGACTTAGTGGAGCCCATTCTACATGGAGAGATACCGTGCCCAGCCTAGACACAGAGGGGGTGAAGAGGTGCGTTGGTCCTGCCTCAACTGGATGATGGGACAGACTTAGACTTCCAATGGGAAGCCTTACCTGCTCCGTGGAGCAGATGGGAGGAGGAGGGAGTGAAGGGAGTGGGAGGAGAGGAGGGAGGGGGAACTGGGATTGGAATGTAAAAAATAAATTAATAAAAAAAATTTTTTAAATGTCCTTAATGGCTAAGGATGTTGAGCACTTTCTTAAGTGTCCCTCAGATACTTTAGACTTATTGAGAATTCTCTATTTAGATCTGTACCCCACTTTTGATGTTTTGGAGGCTTGTTTCTTGAGTTCTTTGTAAATTTTGGAGATGAGGCCTCTGTCAGATGTGGGGTTAGTGTGTAGTGTGTAGTGTGAAAAGACATTTGTCTTTTCCTTGCCAGCCGCTTGGGCTCTGCCGCATTGTAGTCCCCAAATAACACACAAGATGCTGTATTAATTATGAAGCTGTTGGCTGTTTGCTTCTTACTGGCTATCTTTGACTTAAGTATTTAACCCATCTAAGTATTTCTCTTACCAGACAGACATCTTACTTCTCTGGCTGGTCTACATGATGACTACCTGTGTTTCTCCTACCCAGCATACTCCTCTACTCCTAGTCCCACCATCTTGCTTCCCTGTTGGCCAACAATGCTTTATTGACATATACACAGGCCTTTTGGAGATGAGCCCTCTGTCAGATGTGGGGTTAGTGAATATCTTTTTCCATTCTTTGGGCTGCCTTTTTGTCTTGTCGACTGTGTCCTTTGCATTACAGAAGCTTCTCAGTTTCATGAGGTCCCATTTATTAATTGTTGATCTCAGTATCTGTGCTACTGGAGTTATGTTCAGGAAGCGGTCTCCTGCACCAATTCGTTCAAGGATACCTCCCACTTTCTCTTCTAAGAAGTTCAATGTGGAAGGATTTATTTTGAGGTCTTTGATCCATTTGGACTTAAGTTTTGTGCATGGTGATAGATATGGATCCATCTGCAATCTTCTGCATGCCCGTATCCAGTTATACCAGCACCATTTGTTGAAGACACTTTCTTCCATTGTATATTTTTAGCTTCTTTGTCAAAGATTATGGGTTCATAGGTATGTGGGTTAATATCAGGGTCTTCAATTTGATTCCATTGGTCTACCAGCCTGTTTTTGTGACAGTACCAAGCTGTTTGTGAAGATACTCCCTCTGTCTGCTACTTTCAACAGTTTGAGCTGCAGCTTCTCCACTGGGCAAGTCAGGTAAGTCCTGTCATTTCTGTTTTCCCTGCTGCATGGTTTGCCTTTTCAGAGCTCCCATTTCCTCCGCACTGGGTTACCTCTGGCCATCTCTCGCCTTCTCAGCCTAAACTCTGGTCTAGGTACTTCCTACTTCCGATGTATGATGTTTTGATTTTGGGGGGTGCTTTTATGTTGTTTTGGCAATGAATCCTGTTATGTGGCTCACACTGTTCTGAAACTGTTTAGTAACCCAGGCTGTCTTTAAACTTTGCTTCAGCCTTGAGTGCTGTGGTCACATACATGTGCCATCATGCTTCTGGGCTTGTGTTTAAATGGCAGTACCTTAGCAAGAGAAAGCTTGTGCTACATAAGGGACATTAAGGAGATTTTAAATATGTTCATGGCCAGGTTATGTTGCCAGCTACAGTTGTTTTATTTAATTGCATTGTGTTATTTAATCAAAACATTAATATGAGTAGGAGGGTGCTGATTTAGGACAAGTTTGAGATACGCTGAAATCAATTGTAGGTTTGTCTGTAAAGCCCCATGTTTTGTTTGGGCCCATTAGTTCCTCAAGCACAGTGTTGACTCTTGTGTGACTTTGGCCAGCACTGATAAGGTCCCAAGGCCCTGGACTTATTTCCCGCCATCCTGTGGAGGGTTGGTCAGTGTGTGCTTGTTCTTCCTTACAAATCTCCAAGAGGTGCTTCGCTAAATGCGCATTCCAGTTTCTCACTCTGCCTCCCTTCAGTTTCCTTTCTGCTCTAACAGTCTCACCATCCACCTTGTTCTAGCTCTTGTGGACTCGCCCTCACATCCTGCAGCTGGTCCCCTCCTCACTTTGGGGGAGCATCTGTCCCACAGATGCACTCTGGCTTAGGGAGGGCCTTTCTTGATGCACTCTGGCTTAGGGAGGAGTGTCTTTCTTGATGCACTCTGGCTTAGGGAGTGTCTTTCTTGATGCACTCTGGCTTAGGGAGGAGTGTCTTTCTTGATGCACTCTGGCTTAGGGAGGAGGGCCTTTCCTGATGCACTCTGGCTTAGGGAGGAGTGTCTTTCTTGATGCACTCTGGCTTAGGGAGGAGGGCCTTTCTTGGTGCACTCTGGCTTAGGGAGGAGGGTCTTTCTTGATGCACTCTGGCTTAGGGAGGAGGGTCTTGATGCACTCTGGCTTAGGGAGTGTCTTTCTTGGTGCACTCTGGCTTAGGGAGGAGTGTCTTTCTTGATGCACTCTGGCTTAGGGAGGAGGGCCTTTCTTGGTGCACTCTGGCTTAGGGAGGAGGGTCTTTCTTGGTGCACTCTGGCTTAGGGAGGAGGGTCTTTCTTGGTGCACTCTGGCTTAGGGAGGAGGGTCTTTCTTGATGCACTCTGGCGTAGGGAAGAGGGCCTTTCCTGATGCACTCTGGCTTAGGGAGGAGGACCTTTCTTGGTGCACTCTGGCTTAGGGAGGAGGGCCTTTCTTGGTGCACTCTGGCTTAGGGAGGAGGGTCTTTCTTGGTGCACTCTGGCTTAGGGAGGAGGGCCTTTCTTGGTGCACTCTGGCTTAGGGAGGAGGGCCTTTCTTGCTTCTTCTAGTACTTTTTCACTGTTGAGTTGGAGTCTGGTATCTGTGTTTCCATTGAACAGCCCACTACGTATCTCTTGTCTGGCCAGTTTATCATGATATGCAAAGTATGTATATGCCCCTGGGTTCACCAAGTCTTGTCCGTGAATTTTGACTTTTACAAAATTTGGGATATTTGTAACAGTGATTTAGCTTTTGGGGCTTTTGTTTTGGTTTTTTACTGCCCCGTTTTCTTGATTGGTATGGTATGTATGGTATGGAAGTTCTATGTGTGCCGTATCTCATACCTTTTAAAATTTTGTAATGTTTTTACTTACTGTCTTAGTGTTCTGTTGCTGTGAAGAGAGACACCATGACCATAGCAACTCCTATAAAGGAAAACATTTAATTGGGGCTGGCTTCCAGTTCAGGGGGTTGTCCATTATCATGCACGCAGACATGGTGCTGGAGAGGTAGTTGAGAGTTACACATCTGGATGCACAGGCAACAGGAACTAAATTGGCTTGAACTTCTGGGAGCTCAAAGCCCACTCTCTAGTGACACACTTCTTCCAGTAAAGTCACACCTACTCCAACAAGGCCTCACCTCCTAATAGTGTCTCTCCCTATTGACCAAGCAGCAAACACATTAGTATTCAAACCACCACCCTTACCTTTGTGTCACGAGTACCTATGACACAGGCCCGTGTGGCCCTGGGGGTGGAGCCAAGGTTTTTTAGGCTTTGCAGCAGACCTTTACCCGCTGAGCAGTCTCACTAGCCCTTTCCTGGTCTTCTTTTGAAGCAGATTTGGAGTTTGTTAAGGAAAGGCTTCAGTACAGATGGAAGCACAGAGCATTAAGAGTGGGTGTCAGGCGTGCAGAAGAACAGGCATGCACCCTCAGCAGCTTCTCTGCAGAGCCTCATTTCCGCGTCTCGGCTGCTCTTTCTGAGTTGGGCAGCTTTTGAAGTCACATTCACTGACATTGTTCAAAGATTTTAAAAATTGGGCAGAAATGTTTACTTATTCCTGCTGTTGGCTATAAGACTTTAAAGTGGTTTACAAAATGCATGGTACAGGTTCACAGGCCATGAGATAAAACGTGGGCCAAAAGAAGCTTTGTTAAACTTATTTTGACTGTAAACATGACTCATAGCCCTGCTGAAAAGATCTCAGCAGCAGAGTAAGGGTCTCCCTGTTCTCCCATGTCCCATTAACTTTCCCCTATCTTTCTCCTCAGCCTCAGTCTCTCCTTTTGAAACTTAGATCATCTCTTTGAAGGTTTGTTATTCTTAGTTTTTGAGACAGTCTCACTCTGTAGCCCAGGTTTGCTTGTAACTGTCTATGTACCCCAGGATGGCCTCATACTTCCAGTGATCCTCCTGCCTCCGTTTCCCAGGAACTATGATTATAGTTGTGAGCCACCACACCTACTTTCCACTCCCTTAATCTTAATGGTTGATGTTGGCTGACGTTGCATTTTCTGAAGCTTCTTCCTGTTGGAGACCCTTGTTCTCTGGGTGTGGGAATTTAACCTGTCTGATCTAATAGGGATGAAGAATGTCCAAGCTTAGAGCCTGGAGGGTCATCATTTGATTGGCATCTAAAGAAAGTATATGATTAGGATATCAAACTACATACATAAGCATCACTAAGGCTGCTTGTGAATGGACGTTTCCTGTCCCAGAGCCTCTAGGTCCCAAATACCCGGCAGCCACTTCCCAAATTACACAGAGACTTATATTACTTATAAATGCTCAGTCAGTAGTATCTCAGGCTTGTTATTAGCTAATACTTACCCTTAAATTATCCATAATTTTATATTTAACCATGTGACCTGGTACGTTTTCTCAGTGCAGCATGCTCATCTTGCTTCTTTGTGTTTACTGACCACTCTCTGACTCCGCCCTTCCTCTTTCCTGAATTCTTTAGTTTGGTCACCCCACTTATACTTCCTGCCTGGCTACTGATCAATCATTGTTTTATTAGACCAACTGGAGTCTTTACAGTATACAAAAGATTATTCCACATTATCCCACAGCACCTGATCATAAGAGTAGCACCAGAAACATGTCCTGTGTGCTTTTTGCAGATGGAATCTAGAGGTTAACATAGAAAGGCTCTTCAGTTTCTTCTTCCCTTATCTATTGACACAAAGTCTTGTAACCTGACGCTCACCAGTCTGGTTAGACGGGCTGACCAGTGAGCCCTGGGGATCCACCTGACCGCCTCTCCTTAGTGCCGAGATATAGACACATCTACCATGCACAGCTCTTTACACAGATGCTGTGCATTCAGATTCAGGTTCTCGGGCTTGTTTGGCAAGCACTTTCCAGCTGAACCTTCTCTCCATTGCCATTACTGTTTTATGCCACGGAATGCCTACAGTTGGGATTCAGTCAGTACCTACGACTCTCTTCTTGTCTTTCCATCGTACTGACTAAGTATATGTCACATATGTGGGGGTGTCTGATCCCCTGAAAGTAAAGGTACAGGTGACTCTGAGCCACTTGTTGGGGGTGTTGGGAACTGAACTGGGGTGCTCTGGAAAGGCAAGAAATGTTTTAACAGCTGAGCATTTCTCCATCCCCCCTGCTAGTTTTCCTAACAACCCACTCTGACCACCTAGAAGTGAGGCTGCCCACAGTGGGATGGGCCCTCCCACATCAATCATCAGTCAAGACAGTCTCTCCAGACTTACCCTCTCGGAATTACTCTGGACTGTGTCAATTTTATAATTGAGGCTAACCTGAACAATACCTCAATAAATTGCAAGTTTTGTAAAACTCCATTGTGTTAGTCATCTTTCTGTCACTGTAACAAAGTAGCTGAGGTAATTATAAAAGAAAGAGCACTTGTCTGGGCTTACAGTTTTGGAGGCTGCACTGGCTAGTCATTTGACCCTGATGTGTGTTGGCTCAACGCTGTGTTGAGGTAGCACAATAAGGTGGGAAAGTATAGCAGAGTAGGCTCTATGACCTCATGGCTGAGAAGCAAAGCAAGAGTAGTCTGGGGTTCTCAGTCTCTTCTGAGAGCATAACACCAAGACCTAAGGACCTTGTTAGGCCCCACCCGGCAAAGGTCCATTGAACATTTCTGTTAAGCCATGCTGGGTATCAAAACCTTAAGTACACATACATTGGGGGAACACCTGGGAAGTTATTCCTCGTTTTCAAATGAGATAATTGAGGTAAAGAAAGTTGACTCATCTCATGTCACATATCAAAACTAATCAACCATGCTGGAGGACTCCCTTGAAGGTCTGCTTCCCACCCAGTGTGTATTGGTGGTCTCCTTCAGTCTTGCCCAGCAGCTCCTCTTCTAGGGCTCCATTCTACAGAGAGAACCTGTAAATTCCAAACTATAGTTAACAACTGTAACACTATTAATTAGGTCTGTTCTGAGTATATGAAGTACAGTGAAGCAACTTGAAAATTCATATTCATAATCCGTTAGGTGAGATAGGTACATTCTAGAAG